TATATATATATATATATATATATATATAAGATTTTCAAATAATAGTATTATATGTACTTTGCTTATTACTATTAAATATATTTAGTATATTTAGATACATAGAACATCGAACAACGCCTTATCCTACTTTTATAAATGCTCACATGTGGAATACAATAAGTACTTTAACAGCCTTTTGAGTAATTCAAAATAAATCCTATTTTTTCATAACTTTTGTTCTCATAAACGTAATGTCTCACATTTAAATACGTTGCACATAATAATTCCATTGTAATACAATAAACTATCAGATCTCAGTACGTATGAAATAATATCTACTAGTAACCTGATCCATACAGTGATTTTTCTTGCTCCAGATAAATTTTTACACTACAGATTTTCTTCCTTCCTTCGGAATTACAATATTTTTAGTTCATTGTATTACATATTTAAAAAAAGCAGTTCTCATAAAATACTGATATGTTAGTTACACATATTACAATTACAAATACAATAAAACTATAAGAGGAAAGAAATATTTTGGCGGTTCAATATATTTATATGACATGATAAGAAATAGAATATAAATACATTGATACAAATTGTAAATCTTTTCTATGGAGAGTGAAATGTATTAATGTTTGCTCGTAATTTTTTATAAAATTATAGGATGATAAAAAAAAAAAGTAGATCATCTCTTATGAAATAATTACGGCTATAACAATGTACATATGTTCGTGAATAAAGGTATTTTCAACAATAAAACGTCGATAGGAATGAGCATAAAATTTCAATAAAGACGTCTTCCTTTTTTCATTATTATCAAAGGCACTGTGATAAGTAGAAAATGTCTAACAGATGTTTAAATACATCTGTAGTTAAAACATCTGGGCACCTGAACTTCATTTGCAAACTCTAAGTAACGAAATGCCTCCAATTAGACATAAATATACAATTAGATGACAAATAAGTTAGTTCGATAAATTTAATTTTTAGGAAGAGCACCATACTTTATTTTCTTCTAATATATGTGTGTATTCTTATTATATGATAAAATGCAAGGGCACTTAACTCTGTTAAAATTGACTATATTATATAGCAATAAATATAGAACACACATAATACGAATATTTGAATGGCAGAACTGAATTGATAATACGTTAAATTAAAGTAATTACTGATAAAAAGTAGGCATAAAAACATAGAGTAACATTTTTTATAAGTACTGTACTTATAAGTAATTTCTATGCACGATTTGACTGTATTGTTTCCTCTGTATTAATGCATAATTTAAAGAAGTAATCATTTTCAATTAGAAATTATTTTTATACAATTTATATATATCTTCGCCGCGTGAAGAATCCACAGATCAAAATGAATTAAATTTAAATAAAATTTGTTACTTACATGAGTGCAAATTATTCATATAATTTGCAAAAAATTATAATTGGTCCCACTGATATATATATATGTATATGTATATATAATATTTAAAAAATTATACTTTCATTTTGCTGTATAACTTTTTTTCCTACTTAAGACAATATTGTACTCCTATAGGCACTTTAAGTAAGTCAATATGTATCGCAAGGAAGACCAAATTTAATCAATATTTTCCTTTTCCGTTTAGGAATCATTATTTTACTTTCGAATATTTCGATGAATTAATACTTTTAAAGTTGTGTCGTAATTACAGTCTTCCTCGTAATCACTGTGTGTTTAATTGGAGTTTGATCTGTCGTTGTTGTTTGTGATGGATCGGCTACTAACCAAGGGCTGATATCGGAAACGGCCGAATTATCATCCTGAAACAAAAGAAAAGTATCATTTATACGACACAGGAAATATACAAAGAGAAGATATTTTAAGAAATATATATTATAACTCTGATTTATCCAATTTTTAACGATCTGTCGATATTAAATTTTACTGATATTAAAGCAAGAATACAAGCCCACATACGGATTTGCACAAACTAAAGCATACTCGAACAAATATAAGGACATATTACAATAGCTATTGTGACAAGCGTTTAAGAATGAGCCTCACACCTTATGAGTAAGTGTGGTAGTAGTTGTTTGTATCTCCTCAGTTTTCACGACTCTCGCTCCGTTTTTCTCCGTTTCCACTTCAGCTTTCTTTTCAACAACTGGTTGTATCTCTTTAAAAGGATTCAGCAGGCCCAAGAACGGATTCGAATCTATGAACGGGTTTGTATTCGCTTTCTTTTCCTCCTCCGTTTTCGTATCTTCCTCGATACTTTCAGAAACGGCGGTGACTTCGTTGTTATTGTCGCTGGTAAACGGGTTGAACGGATTCTGTGACTGATTTGAAACTTTGGGGTTTAGTTGCGTCGTCTTTTGCTCAATTTGTCCCCAGCTATCCAAAGAAAAGTGCGTCACGGTGACGTTGTCCTCTGCAGATGGGTTCATCATCATGGCCCCGCTCACTGACAATGTCAACTTGTCTCCACCCTAGATGAGAAATAACAAGCAAGAAAGCAAAACAAGTCACATCTAAAGCTCAGAAGCGCAAAACAAAAACAGGAACAAATACCGGAGAACGATAAAACTCAACACAAAGTCCATAAAGTGAAAGTTTATATATACAAATATATACACAAGTTTTTTCAAGTCTGTTTTAAATAAAGTTTGTTCATAATGTTTGCACGATGTCTGATTGCTACAGATATACTAATTTAAATGCCCAAATACTATTTCTCTTCAAGCATTTATTCAAGAAACGCAAACTTCAGATTGATCAACGAATAGCAATCTAAAGAACAGAAAGACAACTTTCAACAATATGAATTACCCGAAGATTTATTTCAGTATATTACAATGTAACGAATATTAGAAAAATTCAGTTTCCTTACCACTGATACGATTGTTGCCGCATCGGAGGGCTGATTGTTCTTAGCGATAATCGAAGATGCATCCATAGAGGTGATGGAAACCAAATTTGAGTTCTTCCCTTGTTCCAGAGACTTCGCTTTCAGTATATTGCACTTCAACGACTCCGGGGGGATAGGCGTACGCGGTGGCAGTGAGGAAGTACCGCCAACTTGATTATTTGGCACTAACGACGTTTGATTGGTCATATTTTCGATGATTAAACTCGTTTTCACCGGTTCTGTTTCCTTCTCGGTGTTAGAGACTGCCGTCTGGTTTCTAGGCTCTAGCGGTTGTTGGTCTTTGGCCAGTGATTTTAATAAAGAATCAACCAATGGTGAGGACGTAGCGTGTACGCTGGAGTCCGATGATTTCGTGCTACATTGACTCGGTTGACGTTGCAAAGACTCCTCTTCGTCTAGAAAATGAGAGAAAAATTTATCGAGATTATAAAGTTTATTCTACAGTTCAATGTTACTGACAAAAGAAAGATATTCTTTTTTTTTTTTCTTTTGTATACTAACTATTAACCACAACAGGTGGTTGTGGTTGCTCTACTTGTTGACGTTGACGTTCTCTTAAAACGTGGCTTTGACGACGGGCGTATCTTTGACTCGGCCGTCTTTCAAACTGCACCGTTCTACGTGCACGATTCAACTGCGTAGTCTGAAATTCGGTTTTGCCGCTGTAACGGAAACGCGAACCCATACGAAAGAAATTCTGACGTCCACTGGCACCCTTGACAGGGGCGCGTAACCGAAAGAAAGCGTGATGCTCTACGGCACATTTCCACAAGTGTTTGCAAGCTTTTTCATTAACAAGTCTGAACACAAACGTATGTTCCTGCTCCCCTCTTCCTTCGTCATCTTCTTCTACAACAACTAATGTCAGTTTCTTCTTTTTAAAATCTAACCGACCGATCTTGGGCCAAAAGAATAAACCTATTTTCTGCGTGCCTTCGAAGACCAGAATTCCCGTTGGCGTCAATCCCAAAGAATATTCGCACGCATCTTTACCAAGAACAGTGTGCATATCTACACCGTACATGTCTAACCATTTCGCTTTGCTGAGGTATGCCGACTCAGCCTGTGCTGGACTAAGACCAGAACACTTGGCATATTCCTCGAGTATTTCAAGTTCCATTTGCTCTGTCTGACCTGGCACGAATCTAAATTCAGACACTGTCGCTGCACTGTGCGCAGCAGGGTCATAATCACCAAGTTCGGCTAAAAGTAGAAATAAATTTATGTTAAAAAAAAAGATAACATTAAAATTTGCATTATCTTATTACTTGTTGATTATTTCCTACATTGAAGAGCCAAAGCAGCCAATTGTACAGAAACTTGATGAGGGCAGTGAAGTTTCCCTTCTAAAACATCTTGCTTCAATTGCAGGAAGAACTGGTATCTTGTTAATTCCTCGCGCAACGTATTAGGTTCTGATGAGTAGAACTTTACCTTGAGCCTTAAGGTATACGGTGGTCCAACTGTATAAAATATCACTTGTTAACAACAACGTAATGAACATGAAAAATTTCTTAACTTTGAAGAGGAGTAAAAAAAACGATGCGTTAATCTCAATGAACAAAGAAGAAAAGAGAAGGAAATTTGCGCAAACGCATACAAAAAAGAAACGTACTTTTCACTTGTTTCTTTATCGGTTTAGTAGGATCCAGCCAATGCTGAACATTATTGCTATCTGTATATTGCAGTCCAAAATAATCTTTCTCTATTAAGTCTAAGCTATAAAATACTTGTTCATATAGGTCACTAGCCAATGCTTTTTTCTGCAACACAAAAACACGAAAATCTGTAGCAAAAAGATAGAAGAAAAATATTTGGAAGGAGGCTTGGTTACGCAATATATCTGAAAGACAGATAGATGGCCAGAAAGAAAAAATCAAAATACAAATTTTCTACAGAGAACATACAAGTAATAAAAATTGTTTTTTTATTTAGTTTTGAAGTTAAACTCGTGTTTTCTTAATTCCAGAATTGTAAAAAAAGTCAGCGAAAAATATCACTGTTCCTCATTCCTTTTGCATTTCTTTTCATTTGCATTGATATTCCTGCGTGACAAAACTGAACGTTGGACATCATTCACTGAGAAAATTTCTGGTGAATGATCCATCAAAGATCCAGCAAATCATCCCACTTACTGACAACTCTATCGGCAGATCCGTGCCATCGAGCAGAACGACTCTGCACTGAACGACGTTCTTATTGCTGAGCAATCGTTGATTCTTTATTTGGGACGACGTAGTCTGCCCGCTGACACTACGAGCCCTGCGCCGTGACAGAAATCTTAGCATCTTATTTGACATACGTTGACAACAAATCTGGACTGGCAAATCCACCGAACGACATATATTGACCCAAAACGCTACATTCCTCGTTTGACACGGATGTAACGCTTTCTTGTGACGGATTGCGTCGATTAATACGCCCACTTTTAACCACGTGTGGAACACGCGCAACCACGTCCAGACTACGGGGAAATTAACAGTTATTAAACGTGCATGTTGAGGATTAGATTCGAAGAGAGATTTTGTGTTACGTTTATGTTTGTTGACTAGACATGGTGGGCCGCAGGTTCTGTCCAAGCCTATCCGGAAAAGATATATAGTGTATGTACATTTCTCGGTCTCACCATTGAGTATGTATACCATAGACTCAACATCTATGTGTGTGAAGAATTTTATATTTCATGTTGTAAAATATACCGATTTCGAAGAAAATAAGAGTTTCTTTTGGGATTTACTACGACAGACATGGGAATTACATTCAGTTGAATTACGTCGAATTAGAATAAATTGGAATTCAAACATACGTACACGAGTGGTTCATAAGAGGCTTAACTTCATTAATTATTACTTCTGTAATTTTATTATGGAGATGAACTATACAAGCAAAGTCATAAAAATGTTATAGACTAATAATTGTGAAATATTGTAAAGCGTCTAATCCTTCGTAACTTGTACATCAATTGAAAGAGTTGAATAAACATGCAGTTAAATTCTAGAATTGTAATCTAATAACTAAGAGTGAAAAGTGATTTCATTCTCTTTCATAATTATTCTTAAGGATAATAAAAATTTTTCTCATTTATTCCACACATCTTCACGCTAAAAAGATAAGAACAATACAAGTATGATTTAATTTTCCTAAATAATTTTCTTTCCATTCAATTTACGGATACAGAAATACTAGCGTCACATAGCGGTGAACCGGTGGAACTAACCACTGTTGTCTTTATCACACTATTGCGCTCCTTCTTTAAAGTGAAAACATCTGTCCTTATTCCGCAGTATTGCGTTCCTTGTCTGACACGAGGAATTGTAGCTGTCCTTCTCTAGCAATATCACTTTCCTTGTCTAACACGAATAATATGTCTGTCCTTGTTCTACATTATCGCTTTCCTTGTCTACGAAAGTGCTTCCATCTATTGGTTTTACTTGGAATTATTTAGTAGTATTTAGTTCCGGCCGTTGATGACAGATGGCGATACGCGCACTTGTGTAGGTATGATGATCGATAAATAATAAAGTCACCGTACTACAAACGAAAATTTTATAATTTATTTTAACATTTACATAATACAGAACTTAATGGATGAATTACGACTGACGACTGTTTATTAATTTCTTATTTACTGTTGGTAACCAATAATTTATTGTATCTCCATAGTAACTTTTTATAAGACTAAATAGATGTCGCTACACTTACCTCAGCTGGAAATACAATAAATTATTGGTTACCATGTTACAAATTGCCGAGAATATATAGTAAATAAGAAATTAATAAACAGTTGTCAGTCATAATTCATTCATTATAAATTCTGTATCATGTAAACGTTAAAATAAATTATAAAATTTTCCTTTGTAGTAACTTTATTATTTATCGATCATCGTACCTACACAGCCTCCAAAAAATTCACTTGTCGCACATTATCACTCTTTTTGTCTGTAGTTAGAATTCAGCCCAATACATGGCAAAACTTTCATAGCAAGGAGAACGATAGTATCAGAGGACAGATATATATGCACATGTTAAAGAGAGATACTGTGCAACAAAGACAGTTACTTCATCTCGTGTCAGACAAGGAGAACGATAACGTGTGAGGACAGACTTATTCATTTAAAAAAAAAGGCACAATAGTGCGTCATATGGTAACGATTAGTTTCACCGACTCACCGCTATGTGGCGCTAGTATTTTTCTGTCCATAATTTTAAATTTAACTTGCAAAAAGAAAAACTAATTGAAGAACGATTTTCAAATTATAAAAAAAGACAGTTGGTAAAGTTTTTCGTAAGATTTTTTTTTTTATTTTCCATTGTACACTGATTTGAGTATGTTTATTAAGCATTTGTAGCCGATGGTGCAGAGGTAGTGGCTTGAGCCTGTTCCTCACGTACACGGTCCTTTTTAAGCTGACCCATGAACGAAGCCTTATCAGCGGCAGTTTGGAATCGACCATGTCCAAATTTGGAACTAGTATCGATGAATTTAAGATTGATCTTCTCCAATGCCGAGCGTTTAGTGTGTACCAATAAGGACTATAAAGAAATCACATGTTTTCATTGATTATATTATGAAAAAAAGAGAAAAGAGTTACTATTTTTTTACGCATCAGTCCTATCATTAAATATCACTTCAATTTCATAGGAATTATTTTGGCTCTTTATCTCATCATGAAATTTTTGGCAGCGAAAATTACTAACAACAAAAAACTGATCATCGTGATAACTTACTTTGCGCAATGTGATCACACGTTTCTTTGGCCCCATACAGCAACCTTTGATCATAATGAAGTCGTTGTTCACTTCACCATAATGAGGGAAACCTCCCATAGGAGTGATAGTTTTTTCAGTAAGATCGTACTCCGTAGAAGCATTGTTCTTCACAATCTAAAAAAAATATTAAGAATTTGCTTACAATTTCTTTTATTAAAAAAAGGATATAATTAATGTTACTTGCTTGGGAGATCTAAAGTGTCGCAATCGACGTCTTTAGATACTATGACTACAAGTTATTCATATACGCCTCTTATAAAGTTACTTTTATAAAAGAAAAAAAAGTAACGTAGGGAAGAGGCAATGTTTCTTTTCTATAGAAAATAGAGTAATACCTTGCCATCCTTAGTGTGAATTCCTTGTCCAATTCTATAGATCTTTTTGTTCATTTCTGTACGATGATGATAACCCTTTTGACCAGCACGAGCAACAGTGAAAGATACACGACTGGGATGCCATGCTCCAATGCAAGCAACTTTTCTTAAACCTTTGTGCGTCTTACGTGGTAGTTTCTTCGTGTGCCAACGTGACGTAACACCTGCAAAGTTGCTGTACATGTATATTTATGTTCATTGAAAACAGGTAGATTAGCTTTATAAAAACAGGGATAACTTTTATATTATTAAAAAGGACTTCAGTAGGAAGGCAGCACGAAATATCTTCAAAATACTCAGATAAATCTACATCATGCTTTTGTCATCATTTAGTCCAATATTTTTTTTGTAAAATTCTCGGAAAGTAAAGAACAATTGTTAAGCATACCTTTGTATCCTTTCCCTTTTGTGACACCAATCACGTCTATCATTTCATCCGGAGCAAAAACATTACTAACAGGGACTGGCTTTTCCAAGCGTTCACGAGCCCACTGAACTTTCTCTTCAATGGTTCCACCATTTAATTGAATTTCCATTATATGGGCTTTCTTTTGACGTTGCCTCAATAGTTTCATCTATAATAACTACCATATTTTAACAAACGATAAATGAAGACATAGACAAACATATCAGAATTACCTGCGTATGAGCAATAATTCGTACAACTTTGCAGTACTTGGTGATCTTTTTGAAATCACTTTCAATGGACTTACGACCAAGATCGTCTTGCCATTTTTTGGAAGCCTTAGTAAATGCTTTCTTCTTGCTCTTATACCTGTAGAAAATGAACCGTAATGGTTGTCTTTTTTTGCTAATAATTTACAGCAATCTGTATCTGTAACGTGCCAGTCTCATCATAGTGAGCGGAGACTATGCACACTTCAGATTAACCTCTCAAAAAAAGTTTTTCATTTTGAGGTTAAATCCAAGTATATGCTCTCATCGAAATGAGCGGAGAGCTGTTTAAGGTTGATTTTAGTATGATTCACAATAATACATAATGCATATTTAATATATATAAATATAAAATTGTGCGTATAATTACCAGTTCTTATAGAATCTTCTGCGACAATCTTCTGACAAGTGTTCGGCCCATACCGTAGTCAAAGCGCGCAGACCATGTGGAGTTTCAATATACCCAACTACACCGACAACGATCATAGGCGGTGTTTCCAAAATGGTAACTGCTTCCACGATTTCCTTCTTATTTACCTCTAAATGAAGAAAATGAACATAAAGTAACATTTGCATTTGTACAGAAACCAGAAAAAAAACCGCATTGTAATATAATGGAACTGTGCCAGGCATGGTTTGTCTCAATGATCATCACCCAATGGATTCCAAAGAGATTATGGAATATGCCTTGTCTCCTTGCTCTCTGTATTCACAGGGCATAGAGTTGTTTTTCGACACTGCGGTTCAGACCATACTGCACAATATCAAGCAGCTCTTGCACCGCGACCAAAGCTTGCCAATACATTACTGCATTTATCAAACTAAGGTCATCGTGTCGGATATAGAATACTATACTTGCCACGAGAGTTATGAAGTATCTGCTAATGAATAACAGATATTTAATAATTTTCACTGCACAATGGTACTTTCTATATATAGATAGATACTTTATTTCACATGCTGTTGCAGCATTATTGAACAATATTTAAATAGTGATATCTATGTGATGATCCTGTATGTATGTAATACTAATTTCTAAATAAGCTCTATTTCTAAATAAGCTCTAATTCTTTTTCCTGTTTCATCTGTACGACATACAGGCAGAACAAAGAATATTCTCACTGTTTAGTCCATGTGTAGGGACATGATGAGCAAACAGATCATTTTATTAATGCAATCTGTCTTTGATTATTTCGTTAACCCTTTCGGTATGAGCGCCGGATACATCCGGCATTCATCTGGTGACCTGAGTGTACGAATGCCTGATATATCCATCTTATGACCTGTGTGTACTTGTATAATTCTAGTGTTACTTATA